CCAAACTACAATTCATTTTTACCTTCTACATTACTTCTGGGAGTTGGAACTGTGATCATTTTTCTCTTTTTACTTCAAAGGTGAAAGTAAAAAATATTGTGTGCATGAAAAATGTTAGCTTTCCAGAACTCTAATAACTCCTTGTCTTCCTTAACTGGAATATTCTAATACGTTTTACTTAAGAGAAAATCAAGATAGCCATTTCCTCTAAACACTTTCGTGGCTGATTTAGGTTTTGCAGCGAATACATCTTATTCATAAGTGGCTAATAATTTTTATTGATAACTTGGTAAGACTCTGACTCTGGTATATAATAACTTGGAACTTCCATTGCTGCTTGAGCAGTGGTACAGCAAGGTTGAAATCAGGGTTGTAGAAGCTGTCTATTCTGCATACAGGAAATGAGGGGGGGGGTGCATTGTCTAATAATGAATTTTAAAACAACAGAAAACTGATTAAAGTTGGTGTGGTTATTATTGTCACCATGCACCACAAAATCTAAACAACATCATTGATAAAAAATATTCCTCCCTACTGGAGGGATGACTACTCCCACTAATGCCTCCACCCTTACTGTACCTCTTACATCATGCTCTAAAGTTATCTTTGTAGACATTAAATTTTTTCATGCTCAATAATGAGGATTCTGATACATTTTAGTGCAGCTTCCCCCATACCAAATTTTTAATATGTTCTATAGTAAAAATACATTTTATATGACAGCAAAGTACCCACACACATACATATGTTTCACTAAACAGTCATCTTTTCTACTAACAGGTAATGGCACTGATTTTGAAAAATATCTCTATTTGATCCTTAGCTATCCAAATTAGAACTTCCAAGGAACTGTTCTAGAATGAATTAAGTAGCTCCCCTGGGGTCCTGTGAACTAGATATAAAATAAAATTGGAACTAAACTAGACTTGTGACATTGATGGGTGAAAATAAAATTTAAGGAGCTGATTTACCTTTTTTGGCCTCTACACTATTAGTCATAGGGAACAGGGATAATGGTACATCAAAGCCAGTATCCAGGCTGAGGGGTGGGTATCACCCAAAGACTCCTCACTTTTTCTCCTTGAAGATTCTATTCCCAAGTCTGGCCCTGATCTGAGTAACATTTCTCAATTTCTGCCCAACTCTTACTCCTCATCTAATAATATACCCTAATTATTCTCATTCAGCTCTGACTAATTTCTTATTTCATTCCAAATTCACAGAGTACTGAACCTTATTAACCTCCACATCTTTCTAAACCATGTGTTTTGCTTCATTCCTTTCTGGTGAGTGTACTACTCCCTTAGTTATCTCTCTCACTATGCATTATTCAGGTACTTCTTACTGGAAGAGCTTCTTTATGCTTATAATTTATGAATGCAATCAGTCATGATGCAATATTGACTGGCCAGGATTTCCTCATGAAATCTATAATTAGATGCCTCATTAACTGCAAGATTAGAAGTTTATGCTTAATGACATATCTCAAAGATTACAAATTATTCTTTCTTATCTACTCTGGTTTAGGATACAGACCAGTTGTAAATGAGGATTTAATCATTATTATACATTTCCAGACGTGTGTTATAAATAACTAAAATTTTATCAAGTATACTGATAAAGATTTAAAAGAGGATGATTTATTCTTAGTTCTGCATGAATTCAGTTATTTTGTAGCAAGTGAGAAGATGACCTTAAACCTATTTCAATAGAAATTACAGGAACTGATTACAGATTAACATGCATACTACTTTATGAGCTAGTATTAACATAGGTTATCATTTCCTATGAGTCAGGATTTTTCTTATTGTTAAAATGAAGGATTTAAATATTATTTGACAGTTTTCTATATGTTCATGATACAATATGGCAGGAAATTGTAAAAGGACATTTAACTATTGAAGGGCTAGTAGGTAAGAATACCATTTCTATGTAGAAAAATCTAAGCTAAGGCTGTGGAAAATTGCTAAATTAATAAAAGATTTCAAAGTGACTTGATTCAAAACATAAATATACCAAAATTAATAAATCCATCTATCAGTATTAGTCACCTGTAAATAATAATAAAATTATTTTTTTTACAAAAGCAAAGATTCTGCAATATAACTAGTAATAGGCTTAAGAAATGTGCAAGATCCTTGTAGAGAAAGCTATATACATTTTAAAGAAAAGAAAAATTGCTGCAAAGATATGCACAAAAATATTACAAAAGAGATACCTTTATATCAGACTAAGATGAGTTTTATATGTGAAAACTGGCAACATACAACTATTGAGTAAGTGTAACATTTTTAAATTGTTAATTCATTTTAGGTTTGTGGATGGGGAAGAGAAGGAGTAGAGAAGAGAAAAAATGGGCAGAAAACAATAAAAAAAGAAAGAAAATGAGAGAAGGAAAGTAGGAAATTCTGAAGATTACAATGCTCAAATGTTCCTTGAGGTATAAACTTCAGAATGTCCTCAGATCACAGCTCTTCAAATGCTTTTTATCTATAGCTCTTAGAGGCTCCAGTTTAGCAATGTTACCCAAATAAGCACAGTAAAAAAAAATTTTTTTTTAAACAGATATGGTAGCAGCAACTAGGACAGTACTACCTGGAAAATTAAGCTGAAGTTCCAAATTGAATTTTCAACTTTGAATCTTCCCACCTCTTACTTAATACTTTGAAACAGTAATAATAAAATTGAGTCCTCCTAGTGGATTGAAGGAATGGGTGAAAGTTTCGAAGGTCACCAGTTTAGGTCTATGAAATTGTTGCAGCATTGTAATTCAATATTTTGCACTCAAGATCGAAGATTTCACATATCAGAAAGTGTAGATCTGGATAGAATAAATAGCAATATAGTGAAAAGAGTATTCAACTAGGAAACCAGATTTTAGTTCCAGAATTAGTCACATTATAACCTTGTTTGCTATCTAACCATCTCGGGGCCTGTTTCCATCTCTGCCAAAAAAAGTTTGAACTATATCATCTTTGATGTCTCTTTATATTCCAAAACAATTATGCTTCCATGATTTCAATCATGTGACCTATGACAAACCTAAGAGGATTTGTAGCAGGGTCACACAGAGTTCTGATCATCAAAATACATGTGTATTTTAGAGATCCTCAGTGTGATTGTGGAAATGATTGTGTTACATGCCTGGGACCAGGAGATAAGCATTAAAACAAACAAACAAACAAAAAATACTACCTAGAGCACTAGCATTATACTTTTTAAAGCTTCTGACGTGCACAGTCATCAGATGCATAATCACTATGTTAAATGTGTGATGTACTGAGTCACTAAACTAGTAAAACAGCAGATAACATTTTTTACAGGTTTATATATTTTTTAAATCTAGCTTCAAGGCTAGTAAATTAACACCCTATCATTACATGATTCTGTTATGGCTGACTTCTCCCTTGCAAGGAATTAAACCAAAGGTAATCAGGACATTTTGTTCTCATGACCCCTAAATACCCTTTAAAATGACTGAGAATGCTAAACAGACACTGTTTATCTGGGCGGTCTATCAGTATTTGCTATATTAAAATTAAAACTAAGAAAATTAAAATATTTATTTATTAATATAAAATAAAAATAATCAGCTATTTAAAATAACATTTTAATTTTTTAAATTATATTTTAAAAATTGTGACTCTCATGTCTATCTGCTTTTGAACTTGCTGCATTCCAATGGATTGTTTTGATTGAAGTGTTTTAGGAAAATTCTGTCTCACACAGAGATATAGTTGGAAAGAAGAAGGAGTATTTTGATAGCCTTTTCAAATAATTGTGGATATTCTTTGATTCTACACCAAAGCTGGAAAAGTGGTAGTTTCTTAGAGGTTAGTTGTTGCAATGTAGAATCTGAAGCCATATGGATGAAATTGTTGTACTTTGTGATGTTAAAATCCATCTATCTCTGTCACCTGACATGTGGATCTTTTCATGTGTATGATTTTGTAATATCATGCGTTGGCTATTTATAAAGTATTGATTCACTTAGTTCACCTAGTCATGCAGATCTCCCAAATGCTGACATATTCCATTATATAATATCAACACCAACTTCATTATAAAAAGTATTAAGTATTGTGAAACTCAGTTTTTAGGGGACTATGTAAGTTTTCCAAAATTCTAATTTTCACTTGAGAGTTTGAATTTTATCACAAACACATTATTATTTTCCTTGAAGTAATAGGCTTACTTTACTAATTTTAATAAATTGTCTGCAAAAGAACTAAGTCTAAATAACCATGATTTTGTATGTCACTTGCTTTTTCAAGTAAAAATGGTGCCATGTGTTAGATAGCAGCTATTTCAGCTTTCAACTCAAATGTCCAAGAACTTTCCTCAAGACCACCATTGTCCTTTAGTATGCAGCATGTGTTTATGTATGCTTTTCATTTTGTTACCTAGCATATTAAAGAACATCTATACCCAATGGTCAAGATATAATAAAATTAATTTTTATTGTTTTATCAAGAACATTCTTAAGTGAAACTGGAAATTTTTTTTTCCGGAGTGCTTAAAAGCAAAAATTATAATGTCTCCTGGTACAGTTTGGTGCCAGTGCCTTGATGAGCACTAAGGTGTTAATAGTTTTAATCATTATTGCTTTTACTTTATCAGTACGAATGTCAACACAGAGAAACCACAGTGATACTTAATTTTGATGTCAATAGTCCATTAGAATCTCAGGGATACCCAAGAATCCTTGGTATGCACTTTAAGAAACACTGAATTAACCTTTTCGAACCAAACAGATGTCATTATAAACCTCCAAAGATATTTTTTAATTGACTAGAAGTACACTTCTAAGCAATACATTGAAAATGCCTCAACATTCAAGTTTCAAGTAGAGAAAATAAAATTTGAACAGGACAGATTTAAGATGTAAACATAGAAGTAAATTTAAGAAAGATCATGCATAGGAAACTATAACAGAGCATAAGGAGAAAAACATAGATTTTAAAGTATGCATTAATCCCACAAAATATTGTCTTCCATACCTTGTAGTTTATGATCTTGAAGTGATCACTGGCATCTGCTTCTTTGGCTAGCAGCTATTGAAAATGATTTGAGAATGAAACTCTGGAATCTTTCTTCTGAAATCCAAAATACATGACAGATAGTGCAGAGTTAACCTCCTTTTCCCAGGACCTGGCTTTTAAATCTGACTCAGGCATGGGCCATGGTTTCAAAAGAGTTCTTGACAGTCTGAAGCTAATCACGTGCCATCTTTCTTTAGCCAATCATAAGGTGATGCTAAAAACAACAGTTGGTCAATTGAGGTATTTTCTAACACACCTAAATCATCACTATCATTATCCCTGACTCTCTTCCAGAGAGCTCTGAGGACAGCATATATCCCATCAGATCCTACAGCTTCCAACATGTAGAAAGAAAATATTGTGCCTACTCTATACAAGGATAATGCAGTTTGACCAAAGCCTTATAGTAAGTCAGAACTAAAAATATTGATGAAAGAGTTTGGACATGGGACCCTTATTTCAAGAAATACCTGTTTTTAATCACGTATATCACTTTATGCTGCTGGAGAAAATGAATGGAAAATATACCCTACAGTAATAATTTTTAGAGTGTTCTTTGCTAGTACATAAAGTGGCTTTGTGATTATTAAGTATCTACTGATAAAACATTACAGCATGGAACTAATATTTATTCAGTTCCTACTATTGCAGGACATGCTTTTAGGCACTCAGGAATTAAAGGATTGAGCAGACATTTATCATTACATAAATTAAATTATTCATAGTGTCTTTAGTGCTTGATTAAAACATCTAATTCAAAAGGCTATTGAGTAAATACCTCCAAGTAATTAATTTATAGCTACATTTGGCTTTACACTGTTGCTAATTAACAAAGGAGATATGTTCAAACTACTGTGTACTACGCTAATAGTGCAGCTACTAGTGCAACTTCGGTAGTAGTAGATTGTATCTAATACTTGAAACATGAGTCAGCCAAGAGTTACATGACTCCTTAAAAATGCTCATTAGAGGACAACAACTCAGAAACTGTTTGCTGAATCCTCTGCCTCTTCCCAGCTACTAAATTTTGCACGTTCTCAGGGCTCAGCCCTCAGATATCTTCACTATCTCACTTACTTTCTAACTCAGCTACTTCGTTTCATATATACTGTATGTTCATAATTCCCAAACTTACACTTCCAGTCCTTACCTCTTCTCTGAACACCAGACTTACATATCTAAATCTCTACTCAGCATACTCACTTGTATTTCACGTAAGCATTTTATGCTTAACATGTTCAAAATTTTAACAGTTAATCTCCCTAACCCTCATAACTGCTTCTTCTAAGTCTTCCTAATCTCAGTAAGTTGCACCATTCTCCATCCAGTTGGTCATGACAAAAACCTTGAAGTCACCCTAGACTCCATTTTACATCCAATCCATTAGAAAATCCTACAGTCTCTACCATGAAAATATATATTCACGTCTAACCACTTGTCACCATCTTCACTAATACCACCTAATCAATGATCAAATAATCAGTCATCTGAAATACTGCAGTATCTCCTAACTTCATCACTTCTTCCATAACTGACCCCATTCTGTATACAACAATCAGAGTGGTATTATGGAAATATTAGTCAGATTATGTTGCTGCATAAAAGCCTCAAATGCCTTTTCAGCACAGTCAGAATTAAATTCAAAGTCTTATCTTGGCATACAGATCATATGCAATCTTGCCCTTCTCTGGTATTTCCAACTGCACCTTCACTCAGTTCCAGCCATGTTGTCCTCAATGTTTGTAATTTCTATTCTCTCCCCTTTGAAACTTGCTGCAAATACTTTCAAGTTTTGCTCTTTCATTTCTTTCACATTGCTGCTCAGAAGGGCCTTCTCTGACCATGTTGTCTAAAATAGTGACCCCATCATCTTCTATCTTCAACCTCTACTTCTTTTTCTTAGCATTTATAGCTTGTTATCTATGTTTCCCTCTATGTATGTATTATACATATGTGTACATACATATATATTAAATTATCAATTTATTAGTAGAATGAAAATGTGGATTGTTGCTTTTCTAGTGCTAACAACAGTCCTTAGCATATACTTGTGAATACTGTTGATGTAATGAATTAATCAATTATTCATTCATAAAGATCTTGTACATAAACACTGCATATAATATCTAATTTTTGACACAGTTTCACTAGCTCTATTAGTGACCAATGTTTAAGCAATTCTTTAATAATAAAGCAGTGGAATTTACTGCTGGAACTATACTACATAATATTTGTAAATTTATATTTTTATATATATATGTGTGTATATATACATACATATATATATAAAAAACTCTAGTATACAATTAAACAAAGGCCAACCAAGTGAAAACAAATAATGGCTGTTTATTCAAAGCTTGCTATATAGCAAGGGAGTTAGCCATTATCATTTGTATTTGGCAGGGACTCAAAAGTAGGCAGAATGGGGGAAAGCTTTATAATTAAAAAAAAAAGTCTTCAGGTATACCCTGATTGGAGGCTGTTAGCATGGGAAAGCTATAGGAGGGCTAGCTAGAAGCAAAGCATAATATTTGGTTGGATAGGGCATGCATATTTAGGTTTCTCTGATTAGTCCTAAGTTGAAAGCAGAGGGAAATATTAAGAAAGTTATCAATTAATAATCAAATTATTAATCAAGTCCTAGTCATTTGGGGCTGATTACTTGTTGTTTGGACTCTCGGACGGGTTGTTATAGATAGTCTGTTGGCTTTCTGGGCTAGTTCCTGAAGGCAATGGGTCAGAGTTACACCTTCCTATATGATCTAGCCATTGCCTGTTTGTATATTGAACCTCTGACTAGGTAACTTTTAATGAGCTAAATATAATTCATTGTATATTATAAAAATATTTTATAATAGTAATTTAAAAAACTAGCCTTATTAAGTAATTTTTGTGTCTTTAAAACATCCCTAAAGAATACCTCCATCTATTGCTACTGATAAATACCTAGAACAAACAGGCTCATTTAACAATGATAAAGTTCTCTGTCCAAGGATTTCTTATTTACAAATGGTAAGATTATTATCTTTATACTCTTATGAAACTACCTATAAAAGCACAGAAAAAGATGAAAAACATATTCCATAGGAGTCTTAAAAGAAAATAATGGAATGAGACAACATTAGAATAAATAATAACCAAGAATTTCTAAGAACTGAAGATATGAATCTGCAGTTTGGAGGACCTAAAGAGTTTAAAGTAGGATAAAGAGTTTTTAAAAGTCCTCATCTATCAAATATTTCAATACCAATAAGTAGGGGGAAAATTAACAAATCAAACATATAAAAATACAGCTTACCCTTTCTAAACAGAGGTTGCAAAAAGAGAATAGAGCAATATCTTCAAAAATATAAGAAAATTAGGTAGAATCTAGAACTCCATTTTCTATATATATGATTATTTAAGGAGGAGGGAGAAATGAAGACATTATCAAGCATTTACTACCTCTGTCCAGTTCACTCCCTCTAATTATTTGAGTCCAACACTTCTTGGATCCCACTAGGATCCCACTAATCCATTGATTCTGTCCCCTTTTCATGGTTTCTCACCCATATCAAGTCCACATTTCCTCTGTTACCCAGTTTAGATTACATGGTCCTTCTTTATATGCACTCTCCTGCATACATTCTCTACTCTCTTCTCTCTTTAAATTCATGATGCTATCTTCACATGGCCCTAGAGTGCTGTTTAATAATCATACTATATGCCTCTATTTAATTCCTATTCACTCTTCTCAGAATTATTTCAGACCTGTTCTTTCCAAATACCTCCTCCTCATTCTCACTCAGCTGTTGGTCTTATTACTTATTTTACTGAAGAAATAGAAGTGAATCAGAAGTGAATTTTCCACACTTATCTAGTAACTTGCCTTCATCTGAATCCACACATTCTACCCTCTTCCCCCTTTTGTGAATGCATGATCAGTTGTTCATAATATTCAAAAAAGCAAAAGCTAACACGGAGAAATAGCCTGTAAAAAAAGGTGACCTATAGTCTTCAAAAATGTCAAGATCATGAAAGTCAAAGAAAAACTGGAGAACTCTTCTAGATTGAATGAGTCTAAATAACTAAATGCAGCATGTGATTCTGGGTACCTTGGCTATAATGAATGTGGTTAGGATAATTGAGGAAACTTGAATGGGATATTTGGATTGAGAGGTAGTAATGTATTTATGTTAGTTTCCTGATGTTGGTGGTTTTACTGTACCAGAACAATGCCCTGGTTTGTAGGAAATACACGTTACAGTACGTACATTGGGGTGATTGGACATGATGGCTGCATGTTACAAATGGTACAAAGAAAAGAAAGTTCGTTTAATATTCTTGCAACTTCTAATTTTGAAAATATTTTTTAAAAGAAAAGAGAAAATAAAATCCTAATGAAGGTGACACCAGAGAGAAAACCACAGTCCTCATATAATTTTCCGTAACAGAAAGGAAAGATAGATAATCATCTGAAGTTCAGGGAAAGGAATCCACTTGGCTGGGTTTGTTGAAATTGTGTCTATTCAAATTAACTTTAAATAGCAGTTGGCACAATTTTGTGTCTATTAGAACATAATAAATATTTTTGGATAATTCTGGCTATGCTAATACTTACAGATAAATATCTATTTCATAATTTAGTTAATAACTATATTAGATTTCTAGAACTTATAGCTGCAAGTTTGAAAATCTTATTTCAATTTTCCTTACATTCTGTTAAATCATTTATCTTCTTTATTTCTTCAGTAGTTTAGATTCTATAACCTATAAAACAGATACTAAAATAATAGTCTAAATCAGGTATTAATTGTGCTTTTTCTAAGTATATAAAAAACCTTATTTACAAAATAATATTTGTTTTGTAAAATGGCTATCTCAAGACTTTTGGGTTTATAAAGAAAATTTATGATCAAGTGATATTGTTATAATTATTTTAATGTTTATGAAAAATTAAAATCAAAATAAAAAATGGTTCAAAATAGTTACTAATCCTCTTCATTCCTATTTTAGATGCTTGCTTTGTTAGACCTGAAATTATTTCTTTCTGTTTGTTTTTTCTGTGTTCATGATCAAAAGATGTGGACTAATTTCCCATTGAGAAATGATGCTTATACAATATTGAGTTCTAGTAGTTCTATCTACTCATTATTGTCCTTGATTTTGTTCTATCTAGTAGATGGTGCTGGTATTAACTTAGAGATATGTCATAAATATAATTGAATAGAGATGGCAGGTGCAAGGAGAGACTGTGGCTTGAGATTCAGCTCTAGGTATTTTCCTCCATTCTTCATTTATCTATTTTAGAAGATGTACTGAGATCAACAGTTACTCCCTACATATAGATATGCAAAGAAATATGGTTAATTTTCTTTTCTGTCAAAGATGGCGTCTTTGCCCTGGGTGGTGTGCAATAGCAGTTGAATACCTATGTCTTTTCATTTAAATTCTTTCATCATTTCACT